CCTTTGGTCTTGGATTGGCCCCCCCCCCCCCAGTTTATTTAGACGACCTCTTTTTTCTTCCTATTTGAAAAATAAATCAATAAAACAAATTGTTACTTTTGTTGAATTTTTTTTTGGTCTTTTTGAGACAGGGTCTTCCTGTAGCCCCAGCTGTCCTGGAACTCACTATGTAGACCAGGCTAGCCTTGAATTCACAGAGATCTGCCTGCCTCTGCCTCCCAAGTGCTGGGATTAAAGGCCCGGCTGAAAAATAATTTTTTTTATTCAGTGTCCTCTAATTGGAAACATCCTTCTGATGTCTCATGTAAATGATTCTTTGCTATGAAGAATACTTTAAAATTTTTGTTTATTTTGTTTTTGACAGGGTCTCCTAGTCTCAACCTGCCTAGAAGTCACTATGTGAAATCAGGCTGGCCTCATAGAGATCCGCCTATCTCTGCCTCCTGAGGGCTGGGATTAAAGGCACTCCCCAGAATGCTCAGCCTTATTTTATTTTATTTATTTATTTATTTATTTATTTATTATTTTTTTAGAGACGGCATCTCTCTGGATCCCCAGGTGACCTGGAACTCTGTATGAAGACCAAACTGGTCTTGATCTCACAGAGATCTGCCTATATGAAGGATAGTTTTTACTTTTATGTAGAAAATTGAATTGCTAATACTGCTCTTTCTTGGGCAGGAAAAATTTTTTTGTTTTTGGACTTTACCACTTTGTTTCTTCAGATTATTCCCATTTCAAAAGATTGGGACTTTTATTAAGCCTAAAACAAACATGTTAAATGTCATTTTTTATTTCCTGAGGTAGCCCTGAAGACATAGTTAATAAAACTTGGAAAATGACACCAGAATAGATCTTCTGTGTAAGTTCCCAATATTTAAGTTACTGTGTAGGGTATAAAATATTTTCATAATTCTGATTTCTTACATTTAATATTTGCACATATACATATATAATTTAATATTTGAGGAAAACCATATGAACTAGAATCTCCCCATAGTTGATCTGGTTTTACAGATTTTTACTACTTTACATTTTTGTGTGACTTGATGACAGACACTGTCTATTGAAGGGAGGGACTCTGAGGCATAACTGCACATTTTGTCATGGAACAGTATATACAATGTATTGGAATTGAAACTTAGGCTTGGCCTGTTTCCAGGAGGACTTAGTTACCTTGTACTTTAATCTGCTCCAGGGCAAAGGGCCACTGAGAGCAGTTGGGTAAGGGAAGGGTAGCACTCTTAAGTGAAATGTGGGTCTACACATTTAAGAAACACAACTTTGTTTCTGTGGTTTAAGGCAACCTTACTACCCAGATATTGACCTTTCAGTTTCTGGGAATGATAGAACCCTGTTCTAACCAGGGTTAAAGTATTGTATCTGTTTCCTTACTAGTCAGTTTCTTTGCTTTTTGAATTGCTAGGTTTATAGCTCGAACTATGGAGTGACTGCTTCATAGGAAATATGTATTAATATATTTACATAAAGAATGTCCTCCAGTTTCTTTGCCTTCCTTTTAGATGGTATAATCCAGAGTTGGTTGAGCTTCAGAACCTTGTAAAGAGATGCTGTTCTCTGTTTTCCTAAAACTGACATGGGTTTTCTAGGTTGGAGGCTACAAAGTGGCAGTCATTAGCAGGTGCTAAAGTCGCAGAAATGGGATGATGGTGATCTGATAATGAAAAAACTAAGCATTTTGGGGAAGCTTAGGTACCTGTGTCACCTTTTCACCACACTGAGAAACCTTGGCAAGAACCCTATTAATGCCTGTTGGCCTGGAGATGTGCTGTCAGATTCAAAGCTACTGATCTGCAGAGTTAGAGATCCAGACAGCTGACAGTCAGCCTGAAAGGAAACATTCCTGGATTTGGATAGGACCCTTCAACTCTGAATCATCCCAGTGAAAAGCGAGAATGGATCGTTGTATACATTATTGAAGTTCTAGAGATAGAAAATGGTCCATACCCTTCTTTAGGCATTTCATTCCTGATGTATGTTCCATATCCTTCACAAGGTATGTGGTATCAGATTGGTAGATTAAGAAACTACAGGCTGGGGAGAAGGCTGGATTGATAGAGTGCCTGCCATACAAGCACAAGGACCTGAGTTCAGATCCCCACAGTCCCCTGGGGGAAAAAAAAAGCAGCTGGGGAAGAAGGGGCAAGTGAATTCCTGTCTGTAACCCCACGGTTGAGGGAGGGTGGAGATAGGCAGATCCCTGAAGCTCATTGGCTAGCCAGCCCAGCTGAATAGATAAGCTTCAGGTTCAGTGAAAGACCTTGTCTCAGAAATAAAAGAGGAGTCTGGAGAGATGGCTCAACAGTTAAGACCACTGGCTATTCTTACAGAAAAGTCAGGTTCGAATCCCAGCATCCACATGGTGGCTAACAACCATCAGTAACTCCAGTTCCAGGGGATCTGATGGCCTCTTCTGTCCTCCACAGGCAGGACACTTACATGCATGCAGGCAGTGCACTGATACACACATAATAAAAATAATAAAATATTTAAAAAAATAAAAGGGTCTGGAGAGATGGCTCAGCAGTTAAGAACACTGGCTATTCTCGCAGAGGACCTAGGTTTGGGTCACAGTACCCACGTGGTGGCTAACAACCACCCATAACTCCAGTTCCAGGGGATCCAATGCCCCTTTCTGACCTCCATGAGCATTG